TAATGTTTTATTTACAACTAGCTGTTGTGAGCGACGAATTATAATAAAATTAATTAATTGCCGACGTGTTCTTCCAGACTATATTCTACATCTGTGCCAAATTTCATTAACAGCCGTTGAGCCGTTCCAGAGATACCTTCAAACAAACACCCAATCATTCACATTTATAATATTAGTAAGATAAAAGTAACCTAACTTTAGTATCAAATCTATCGATTACTTGTATAATCAAGTTAGTGAGTTAGGATGTCGTGTTTCTAAATCTATACACATGCTAGTGTTTACAAAGTAGTGAAAGTACACTTGTATGTAGTTGTTAGGCGACGCCGTATAATTGGAACATAAAGTTGTTCTAATCAGCCGGGTAATAAGCCGAACACGCGTCGCCGAGCGGCCTCAGCGTAGGCGACAGTGGGCGTTCGTGTATTGTATAACAAAGCTTAACACAAGTGTTTTAAATAACAATACAAAATTAAATAAGAATCAGAGAGATCTAATTTCTAGATCAGTTGTCTTTAAGAGAGTGTTAGTTAATCATAGATTCATAGATTATAAAATAGTTAATATCAAACACTAGCAAGTAGTAAGAAATCCCTAAAGTCGATAATACAGATGATTAAATTTGCCATGGAAATATTTACATAAATACGATGACTAATTCTCTTAAACTCTTAATGGATTTTTGATCTGACCATGAATGAAATATAAACTAGAGAGATCAGCTTAAAGCATTTAATTGTAGCGAATAACATGCATTATAGTCCATGATAATCATCATTAAAGTTTGCAATAACAATCTATAAATGTAACAAACACTAAGAAGTATATTATAATAATAATAATAATAAGCCTTTATTCAGATATTTTTCATTACATTACATTACATTATATTATTTAAAGTTTATGTCAAGTTAGTTAGGTTTATATCCGTTTGTCCCCTGTGGACAAAGGCCTCTTCCAAACTCCTCCATTCCTCTCTTGCTTTTGCCCTCCTGCACCAGGTCTGTCCCGCCACTTCCCTTATCTCGTCTTTCCATCTTTTGAGTTGTCTTCCTCGTTTTCTTTTACCGCTTTTTGGATACCAGTAGTTAATGAGTTTGCTCCATTTGGACGGGACACAAGAAGTATATTAACTTGCCTTAAATATTGATATTATTAACTTAGGACTCCTGTAAGTTTGTACTCGAAGGACTCGAAGAACTCGAAGGACCCCAAGTGCTTGTCGTTCGTAAGCCGAGAACAGACCATTCCTCAACAGAGCTGTATATGATAGAAAGTTTACGAAAACCGCACGGTTGAGGATTGCCAGCCATCGAAATAGATGGTACTTGGCGGTCTGAATGTGAATCGAATTATACCTCACTCTTCAATATCATAATAACGTTGCAATATTGGCATACAAACTTTCATATCTAAAGCCTTGACGGTTCATTAAAAATTACCTTAACTTATATAAGTAGGACGTACAACTTAAAGGCGATGATACATCGCGGAACCAAAGCCGTGACTAACGAGTGACTTGCAAAAGCTAAATAACAACTCTGTGCAATATTAGAGCACAGCCGTGGGAACACAGCACGGATGTGAGTTACAGTATAAAAATCCAGCTTTCTCGCCGGAGGAGGCTTCCGTTGGGGGAATCGGGCCGTAGATAGGATCGCAGATGGACGATAGGATCTGCGAAACGAGCGACTGACTCACGCCTCATCCGAAGGTCGAAGGTGGGGTACTATGTCGTAATTGTTACAGCCTTTAATGTACGTAGTCGTTAAACATCTTAACGACTCCTTTAAGCCGCTTTGGACAATGCCATCTCCCAGATGCACCGTTATACAAACACGAATCTGATTAAGATGCTGCCACATCAAAGTGAAACGTATAGTACCGTCGGTGAACGGCTTTTAATGCCTTAACTGTTATAGAACATATTTTTTTATTGTTCAATACGAAAATATATCATAGATTTTTCTTAAGTAAAAAAAAAATCTAAATGCAATTCCGCATGGTAGTCAACTGTTTCTTTTATGAGAAAAGAAACTTAATTCCCTACATACATCTGGCTTTAAACTACCAGGGCAAAAGACTTCATAGTAAATACCCGTAAATAACCTCAAAAAGTGGGATGTTATATAGAGTAGAAAATATACAGTGATATTTTTGGTAAAGACTCGGAAATTTTCCTCTTGCTGAATTATTCCTGGACTTACAATTTTATTGCAAGCATCATTTGTTCTTACATTTATTTTAAAAGTAATTAATACTGATTAAATAGCAAATATCAGGAATCGATCGTGTGTTGTTTTGCGAGATATCTCGATGTGTTTTCGATTGTTTATAGACGAAGCCGGTCTTGCGATGACTAACGCCTCGCCGTCTGCCACCGCGTTACACCCGGACCGGTTCCCAACACCGATACACTTGTTCCGAAATTTATTTACTCGTATACCTTTGAATTTATTATCGTCCATGCTCAAGCGTGTTTAATTCTTGTTCAGTCTTTGTTTTTTTCAATTACTTTATATTAACTGACACATAGTCATTTTTAGTACAACTTTTTGTGATCAAACATATTCCATATGTGTGATTAAACAAGACTCTAGACTAAAGCAAGGGATCCTCTCTCTCTATGGATAGATCGGCTCAATGGTTCTTGATTAATTTTTGAACAAAGATTGGAAGAACACATAGGCTACTAATAAAGTTTTTTGCAATTCCGCACGGACGGAGTTGCGTGCGAAATCTAGTTCAGTATAAATGAAACCAATAATCATTACTCATTATTTATTATACTTCGTCTAGAATGTAAATGGATACATACGTACATAATAGTAACAATGAAAAAAAAATGAAATTTTATACAACTAAAATATTAAAAAAAAATATGGCTACACGACAGATAGCTCTGTCCTTTATTGGCACTTGGAATGTTTTCTTCTTCTCAACTCTAAATTTTTAAATGAATATATTTATTAAAGCATATAATATTAAGCAAGTTACGTATATCGAGTCTTATATGACAATTTATATATAAATATGTTATATATCATGTATATAGACACAAAAGTATTATGTACTTTGCCGTATACATTTCGCAAATTAAACGAAATAAGGCAAAGTATTATTTCTTATCATATTTTATTATCTAGAATATATCATTGAAAAATATATAAAAATCGGAATTATGAATTCATATATTTTATTTATTTTATACGTACAGTTAAAGAAAATATGTTTGTCACGTCAAATTCAAAATTTTACAGATCAAATTCATAATTTTCAGAGATTTAAATGTCAAATTCACATGAAAGCATTGTCGACTCGAACTGCAAAAAGTTTACATATGAAATTGAAAATGTTGAATTTAATATGTAAAAGTGCGAATTTGATAAAATTTAAAGTTTAAAATACAATTCATAAATGAGGTTCGAACCATGCTCATCGAAATTTATTTTTCAAATAATTTTTTTTTTGATTAATAACTGATATGTTACTGGACAAACTTATAATTTTTTTAATTGTGAAACAAAAAAAAACATTTTAGGGGATTAAAAAGTTTCGATAGAGCATATTTCGAATGTACAGCATTGACATTTAATTGGTGAAAAAAAAATATTTTAAATATGGAACGTCAATAAAAAATAATGCAATATGTACGTTGCACGTATCAAAGCTTATAATAATTATAACAATATTTTAAATATTTTATAAATATTATATTACATTATAAAATAGCTAAGCGGTTAGAAATGTTTAAATGCTACCATCGCTTACACTAATAAATAATATTTACAAAAATCACCAGAATGTGTTACTTCATAAAATGGATAAGTACCAATTACGTAGGATGAATACTTTTATACTTCCAGATACCGTTTTGTATTCAAATATGAATCAGGAATGAATTCGTTTTTCATAGCAATTTTTGAACTAATGATTTTACAATACAAAACATTTTAATGTAAAAAAGAGTCTTGACAGACAGACAGAGGTACAACCAAATGATCCTATAAGGGTTCTGTTTTTTCCTTTCGAAGTACGAAACCCTAAAAACACGTATATTTTGAAATTTAGACAACATTTTTAAATTCCTATCACTGCTGATTTTTTATAGTTAAAGTTGGTTAGTAATTGACTGATATAAAAACGGCTAAACACTCACTTATATTCGTCCGGTGGCGGCACCGACTAAGACCTTCATCAGGATGAGTGGTACTGGTATTATTTTGCGGACGCGGCCCGTCGCTCACACCGTCGGTGCCGCCACCGGACAAATATACGTGAGTGTTTAGCCGTTTTTATATCAGTTTATTATAATAATAAATTGGTTACTTCTAACCGTGAATTGAGCCGAAATTTCCGTATAAAATATATTGTTATCCCAGATTTGTCAAAGAAATACAGAAATAACGATAAGATTTATACAGAGATTGAATTCAGAAACTTATGAGAAGTGATTTTACTTTTAAATCTCGGATTAAGGTATCTGGAAGTATATATTTTTATGGTGTTGATTTTACAATAATTGCAATTTCCCATTCTGGCGGTGTTAATGAAGAAGCACGAATACTGTAATGTAAAATTGTTGAATCCTTCGGCGGTGTGACGTCACAGTTTTATGGACTCCATCACCACTTACATGTGGTCTCCTTTGTTGGATTGATGTGTATTTCTCTGCAACAAACATGTATAATTAATTTCAAGTCTACTAAAAATCATTTTAGTCAATTTAAATCTAATGCTTGTAGGGTTTATTAAATCGCACGATCGTTAAGGTTAAAATTCTTAGCCTAGGTTTGAAGCGGTCTTCAAAATGTCACCAATAGTGAAAACCCCCCTTTGGTGACTACAATTTGTCTAACCAAGGTTGGTGACAAATAGAAGAAAGTAAAGACTGAGTGGTCGATCTCACGAAAACAGTTACATCTCTTAAGAGTTCTTATAAGAGATATAACTGTCGACTGTTCCTTTTATAGTAGTGTTTGTCATAAAATGATTCTTACTGTATGTTGTTAGAGAGACCGCTGTTGTTGGATCGTGCAAACTCCATGACCTTCACCGCCACAAGCATTGACTACATCTATAACAATTGAGAAACACAAATTATAATTAAATGTTATATAAATTAAATAATCAATTATATACATAAATAAAAATTTGACACAGAATATACAGAATACACACGTTACAATGTAATTTAAATCAATGTATGTATGTATATCTCAAGCGACATATTACAATTGTGCTTCATTCGTATTAAAGAGATTCCGGATGACACAAATAACTCACGGGCCAATTTTTTACAACACACTATAAGTTCACGGTAGCTTCGACTTTTACAACGAATATATCGCATCATTAGCTTATAGCTATTTCACAAAATAATATATTAAAATTTACTTCAAATGTACTATATTTCATAAGGAATGCTACACACTAGGGCGATTATATATTCAAAAACAAGTCATCACCTAAAAGTTTGGTGGAACAACTATTAAGAAAAGAACAACAAAAACTTTTTTTTAAGACAACCGTTACAAGACATATGGTTCTGTCGCGCTTGAACCCGTAAACGAAACACAATGCTATTAATTTTCTTAGAGATAACAGTTAAAACATCCGTTAGAAATGCCAACAACAAGATAAATCCCGACAAAGGTAAAACAACACATTTTGATCTCACAAATTCCCTATTTATTAAAAATTACTTTAAAAGGATTAACACGGCCTAAAGGTGACTAAATTTTCTGGGAGTACAAACAACTTATTAATTTGTTTTAAAATATCTACAGATTAAAATCTTAAACCTCGACTTAGAAACGAAAAGAATCTTGGCTGTAAGAATAATAATCCTTTGCCTTTACTTTCAAGTAAACAATTAAAAAGAACTCCTGTCAAAATGAAACATGCGTTTGACATTTTTTTTAGAACATTATTTTATTCGAATTTATTTTTTTAAATGCTTCGATGGTCAAAATAATTATTCATTTGGTCTCTTACAGTTCTTTTCTAATTAAATCATGTCATTGATAAAGGATGGTTGGAAGTGTTAATATGTCAATAATGCCGTATTAATTAGGAAAGATGTTCGATATATCGAACTGCATAATAGCGAAAGGTGCCTTTTAAATGGCAAAGATGTACTAGAAACGACATTTAGAAATATCTTTGCTAAATAATGATGTTGCTTACAATGCGATAGTTTATTGTGCGCACAACTTATAGTCAACTTTGGCATCTAATATTTACGTTGTTAGTATAATGAATTAACGTTTTGTATTTTGCTAAGAAATTATTTTAATACTTAACATAAAGGTCAATTACTAAAATCAGAAGGTCCCAAGTTTTATTCAAAGAGTTTAAACAAATCTCTGAAGTTTGTTTTGTATCCAAACTTTTTTTGTAGAGCATAAATACTATAAAAACTGTATTTTATTAAGTTCAAAACAAAACCAGGGTACGCGATAATGTGTACACACCTTTATATAAGCTACTTTTTAAAAAAAAGCTTTCCACAGTAAAACAAATTTCGATAGCATTTCGATCTGGTTCGTGCTCAAGACGATTTAGCCACGGCGCGGGCGATGCAGTTTAAAGGTTGTAGGTGACAGCGTCGGCATTTATCCACTTCCGTGGAACAAGACTGGGTTATTCGTGAGCACACACCCCGTATGTGCGACTGTGGGAACAGAGCTCTTTGTTTCTGTATACAGGCTGTTTCACTTTATTTCGTATTTAATTTAAAAAAAAACATTTATTTATTTCCCTTAGGGTTTAATTGTAACAGTGTTAAATACTGGTTCTTATGTAATTTATCATTATGTTAATTTAAATGGAATTTGAATGATTTTAACTCGAAATTGGCAATATAAGCTTTCAAGTCGAAAATTGAAGAAATCGAGGGAAGAACTCCGTTTAACTTCGTACTTACATCGGCTACATCGTATTTTTAATCGATATTATATTAAATCATAATAGTACCAACGTTAGTAAATGCGCTATATAGAGAAGTCATAAACCAATATAATGTTGATTGTATGAAGAACAAACGGTGTAAACGGTATCTTTAAACATCCTGTACATGGAACAAGATTTCTCAAGCCTAATTAACGGCGTTCGCCACCTCGGTCGCGATGCGCGAACAATTGTGTACGAGGAGTGTTCTAATGCGCTATTATATCGCCTCGCTTTAGTCCTAGTCCCTTTACAAAACATTTCGATTCCTTCCCTACACCACTTTTATTTAACAAAAAAATCCAGAACAGTGAATTGAAAAAAAAACCTTTTGTTCCCGACAACGCATTTCCAATGATTTCTTCACTATGAAATGTAGCCCAAAACCTTATAATAAAATAATGGGTTACAATAATAAACGACAAAAATCTACGTTAATAATTCAATGTAACAGTTTCTGAATACTACAAATAACTGTACCATCTAGCAGGCTTGGTTTTGTTCTCACATAAAACAATCGGAGAAATAAAATCGATATCTCAACGAGTCGATTCTCGCGCGAATCGTGAATCGAAAGGATCGACCTATCGGCGACACGGCGATGTGCAAGCGATAGGGCACCGCGGCCTGCGCCGATGACCCACTGCGCTAACTTAATGGCACATCGCACTCTCGATTCCGTTTTGATTCATTAACTTTGCTTCCCGCTTTTGTTCTACGTATTTAGACAGTGGGAAAACCGTAATCGATTGAGATAAGCTTACGTTCCTTTTTGGTCCAAAACGGTGTATTTTCGTTAAAATCTTACCAGTACAAAACTAATATACAAGACTTGATGTGTCACAAAAAAGTAGACATTACACACACAGTTTTAATCCAATGAACATATATTTACAGTAGTCCATGTCATGGTAAAAGCAATAAACTTTCTTACGGAACACGATGCATCGCAAAATAAGGGGTAGTGTAGGATCTCGTGTGAATCGCACGTCACCAGCCGCGACGTGAGCGCCCCTGGCTGCAGGTACCGCTACCGATCATTTTGTTAAGTACACATATGTGGCCGTTCACGTTTACAATGCCTTACAACTCTACTAGTACAGTAATATTTTATAACCTTTATTATTATTTTTTTCGAGCTCATTTTTTGTCATCAATTTTAATTATTAACTACCTAATAAAATATACTAACGAACTGACTTTGAACTCGTAAAGATAATTTTTATATTAGCTTTAGAGACTATATCAAAAACCCTAAAAATAAAAGTTCATCCAAAAGATGTATCATTAAAATGATGGACCTTTAAATTTCAAAGTTGACAAGATCGTTTGATGTTCAATTTACTCTCTTATCGCTTACATTTTTTGCAGGGAATATTTTCCTTGATAGTTTTATGATAATATTAAATTTGCATTTAAATTTTAATCATCTTGCATCTCGTAAAACGACAAATAAAACTAAAGCAAATCATTTGATCCATCAATCGATCATCTTTTAAAAGTTCATACAATCGTTTGAATTAAATTGATTTAGAAACATTTTATTATTGAAAGGGATTATCAAGGGTAAATTATTAGTTAAATTTTGTACATTTGGTGCATTTGCTTTTAATTAAATTGACCCACCAAATAATTTCATAGTTACAATAATTTTATATGGACAAAGTTTTTTCCTGTGTTTCTTTAATCAAATGAAGACGCTTCTGAATATCTTCCTACATACTATGGCAAAATCTGGAGAGGTTAAGTGTAGTGAACACTGTTTTTCCGCGTACGTCTTAGGGTTGTCAACAAGCAATTTATCTCAATATTATGTTACATCAAAAATCTCATTATTCTAAAGAATTTTTTTTATATTATTACTTAATTTGGCACTTTTAAGTATCGTAACTAAACTAATATTTATCATGACCTGATAATCTGTAGTTATAATATTTTTGGAATGTCTACGTGTTGTAATGTAAGAGAGAATTCTAGACAACTAGAGGCTCGTCATTTTATGAGTTAGTGATATTTTGTTTTGATAGAGTAGTACGAAATGAAAGGCGACTTAGCAGCCCTAAGTGGTCGGGATCAAAACCTGCAAATTATACCGAGGCGGTCACGTGTGGCTCGGTCCCGCAGCCTCGCGGTCTCGCGGGCTACCGTCCACGTTCGCACAGTTTCGGAAGCATTAGGGCCCATTAGGCACCGTTAACACGGGGCCGCGTCACGAGCGCACGACTCGCGCGTGAGCGATCTATCGGCCATCTCTCGGTAGCCCGGATGCGGTCTTTCACACGGAACCTTTTGTCGGAACATGTTACGCGTGTAACCCCCTTCTTTCCCTGACCCTCTGTCCCTACTTTGTCCCTCGTTACTGCTTTCAACTCATCCAAGGAAATTATAGTGCCGTCACTTGACTTGGAAGAGAATCGAAATAAGCTATAAAATTATCGTACTGTGATACACTGACTAATTCTGAATGCATATCATTTTCGTTTGTAGAGTCTTTTAATTTTACTAATGTAATTTAAATGATAACGGTTGTAAGAATTGACACGCTTATTCCCTTATATCGAGAATAAACAGATATATTCAATTATGTTAACGCTAAATAACAAGCATTTAGTTCATATCTGCTCCTGCTTAGTATGTTTAACTGTTACATTATGACTAAGTCGTGACTTTAAATCTAAGTGATGTACACTTAGTGCTTAACACTGTGCTTAAAATTTATCGTAGCTAGATTTTAAACAAAGTTGCAGTAGCAACAAAATGGTATATACAAATGTATGACATACTAAATTAAAATCTAATGTTAAGAAATATTATTATCATTATGATTCTAGATCTCGTAAATTTGGTGTAATGAACCGTCTAAGTTCATTATACCAAATTTACGAGTACTACGTAATTTTGTAGCGTTATATTTTAAGTACAAAGTTATTACGATTATGAATGTTGCCTGTTGGCAGATCCTTAATCTTACTAATATTATAAATGTTTAGATGTATGGATGGATGTTTGTTTGAAAATATCTCCAGAACCGCTGAACGGATCTCAATGAAATTTGGCATACACATATAACATAGTCTGTAAAAACACATATGTTTTTTTTAATTGTGTGCGGACGGACTCGCGGGCGACAGCTAGTATGTGACTAAATTTATTAAATAGTATATGACTATAAAAAGAAGTTAAATTCGTGACCCGTGCAATTGTGAAGTCTCTTAACATTTATTGCTCGCCGTAAGCACAACAAGCAAAAAACAATTGAAGATATACAAATATGGTTCGTGTTCGCTTCATGTTCACGACGCGACATCTATACTCTCGGCCCTGTCACCCGTGTCATAGAAAGTTTCGTAACTGCTTATAAGAGTTTCACACGAAGACAGTACATGTAGGAATGAACAGTACATCTATTGTATATGCCGAGTCAAAAGATTACTATGTTCAAATAGTAGGAATACTGCACTCTCTACTATTCTTTCACAATATTGTGCCCTCGTGTGAAACTAGCATTACTCAGATGATATTTGCATGAGGATAGTAACAAGGAGTACACGTCGCTACTAACATATTGTATGTTAATTAGGTAAAATGAATTCTTAAAAAGGCGTCAGAATAAGACATAATATAAGATTTTTTAATTCCACCATGTTAGTCACCATAGTTACACATTTTGTGGATTACCGTGATTATGTTCCTAATAAAAAATATTCTCATCATCAGCTCACTATAAGTCCCCACCGAGGTGCTCGGAGCCTACCCTAAGTTAAGGGTGATTAGGCCATAGTCAACCACGCTGGCCAAGTGCGGGTTGGTTGACTTCACATATATCTTTAAATTTCTTCTTAGATATGTGCAGGTTGCATCGCGATGTTTTCCTTCACTGTAAGAAGGTCGGATAAATGTACATATGTAAATCGGGAATCGAAAAACACATTGGTACATGGCGGGATTCGAACACAGGACCTGCAGATTGGAAGTCAAGTGCTTGACCCCTGAGCCACCGCTGCTCTTCTAAAAAATATTCTATTACAATGAATTTAAATTTCAAGTTCTTTGAACAAAAAGAATTTCAGTAGCTTTATTTATCTCCTTATTTATCAAAAGGATTATAAAAGTCCATTTACAATATACGACTTGATTTTTATTAATAAAACCGTGCAGTAATTAAGCTTGCAGTTTTTACGGGCAATTTTTACGTCGTTCGGTAATCGAGTATATGTGTTTGACAATAAATTGTGCGATCTAATACCTCAATATAGATAAGAGAATGAACGTTGTCGGATTTAATTATACACATCGCATTTAACAGATTAATTATTCAATGTCACAGGGATTTGATGACTGTGACATATTCATACATAATTAGTACTCCCGCATTCCAAAAATTTTTACTACTATACTGAAAGTCTTCAATGGATATGTGTAATCTATTAGGACTTCTTTAGCGATCATGAAACGATTCTCAGTACAAAATATACTTTGAACGTAATCATGTAAAATGAAAGTAAAAAGCGATATTTTAAAACGTACGATTCCGAAAAACAGAAACTCAATGTGATCAGTATTTGACCTAATTTTTGTATGTAAAAATCCAAAAATAACTTTTATTTATGGGACTATAACAACACAAAGTTTTCGATTTAATTTTTAGCCAAAAATTATATTGTTTTCTTGTCACATTATAATGTACATTAAACCAGTACTGAGCTAAGTTGTTGCATATCCCTTGCGGTTGCAATACTGTAACAGTAGGAGCTGATGATTAACTGCCTCGGATCGTCACAGGCGACTGCTCCCGAGATCGGCGAGACCCTAATGCAAGCTGTCAGCTCGCCGCGGCCTTGTCAATATCGGCTGTAACATTAACCGCAATATAGGTCGACTAGTTGCTCTAGTGATATTCAACTAGGTTTAAGTTAGTCTATAAATATTTTACTAGCGATGTAATCGTCGATGGCTTAGCGGTTAAGCACTTGACTTGCAATATGCAGGTCCTGAGTTCGAATCCCGCCCAGTACCAATGTGTTTTTTCGATTTCCGATTTACATATGTACATTTATCCTAAGTTCTTACGTTGAAGGAAAACATCGTGAAGCAACCTGCACATATCTGAGAAGTAATTCAAAGATATGTGTGAAGTCAACCAACCAGAACTGCGCCAGCGTTATTGACTATGGCCTAATCACCCCTAACTTAGGGTAGGCTCCGAGCCCCTCGGTGGGGACGTTCGACGTAGTGAGCTGATGATGATGATTAATCGGTAAGTAAAAACAACAAACGTCACAAATTCGCGAAATACGATGATTGCAATAAAATAGCACGGATTTTTCGACGAACAGCGAAAGTACTACTGACTGAGTTATTCTGATAGAACACGACATAAGCTCTCTGTAGAGTTATTTGTATGAAAATGTCAGGTCAATGAGCGTTAGTAGACGATAAGCCATTGTACACTAAATTTATTTTGTTTCATTTACTATCACGAAAAAAGATTTATAAGGACTTTAATTGCTTTGTTGATTAAAGATTACTTTGACAAATATCAACATCTTGAAAGTTCTTTTGCATGTTCATCGTAAAAAATACTTTATCACTAAAGATTGGGATGATGCAACGTATGCTGCAAATATTAAAACAATTAAAAATGGAAAATCTGTCTGACAGAGGTAGCCTTTACAATAGTTTTATTGGCGAATCGCTCAAACGCATAAATTATAAAACACGAAGGATTTTATGAAAGTTAATTTAAAAATCTGAAATTCCTATAACCTATTATACGTCGGTGAGGAATTATATCTCGCGTATTACTGCGTTTGATTAAGTTAGTTGGTTTAACAGTAGTAAATAATCAGTATAGGTCTTTTCAAATATCTTGGCGGCTTAAGGTCATCTGCACTCTACGCTTTGCCCTTTACGTCTCAGCAACTCTTACGATATTCCGAGCCACTAAGATATTTGGAAACCTCAGTATATGTGAAACATATCTGAGAAGAGATTTATAGATATGTGTGAAGTCAATAAACCTGCACTGAGCCAGCGTGATTGACTATGGCCTTGTCACCCTTAACATAGGGTAGGCTCCGAGGGCCTTAGTGGGGACGTATAGTGAGCTGATGATGAAATTTGTGTAAAATGATTCTCACCTGTGTTGACGCAAGTTATCCTGCCGCTTGAAACTTTTCCCACACACCTCGCAGCTGAAGTTCAGCTCGGGGCTCTTGTGGGTGCGCTCGTGTATCATCAAGTTGTAAGACTTGGTGAATCTGCGCTGGCAGTACTTGCAAACGAATTCGCACTTGGGGCGCAGTTTACGCCTAAAGTCCCGTGTATGATCCTCGTCGATTTGCATCACGGCGAACATTTTGTCTGGTCTATGGTGCTTGCGCGACGTGCAGGGCTTGGAAGCCTGTGGAAAGAAACATATGTTAAATGCTTGATCGAACAATTTTGTACTCTATTACAAGTGGGTACGGTATTAAATCCAATGAATCTTTGAAGAATAATGATGAAGTATTTCAATATATTTGTATAATATAATTTTAATCGTAACATTGGCAATTACGTCATAAGTTGTAATGAATGATAGTTATAAGCAAGTTAGACGACTTCAAACCTCTAATATTTTTAAAATTCGAATTCGAAATTTGACAAACAAAATAAACACAATCATTTGTCTGCGTAATAAATCGTAACACATAAAAAGTAATAAACGATGAATTATAAATGGGTGTTATTACAACAATTACTACCTAAATAAAGCCGTTTAATAACGTAGTTGCACCTTATATTTATGTAAATTTCCATCGATAATTTCGTGATTATGGAAGCTGTTTGATACATAATTAACATGTAGCGAGTTATTTAATATCATTATCAAATACGCACCTTCAACGCGTCGATTACAACCGATATAATCGACCCTAAAGCGACGATCACACCTACCTAAGACACTTTCACTTTAATTTATTACAATAAAACACTGACATTTGAAATGCATACCTAAAACTACAGAGTTAAAGACTTTGGAAGTGACACTGTATGCGTTAAAAAAATTGAGCTTGGAATTAGAGCGACTAGATGTGTCAGTGCACGTGCGATCGGGAGCGGGTGCGTTTGGCAACTGCGCCGGCGAGAGGGTGGTGAAACTACTGATAACGTTACGCGGAAGGCGCGCGTAACCCCCTCCACCTGCGCCAGTGAATGAACAGGTAGCGGACGGTAGGCCCGCGCCTGCGCCTGCGTTGGGAAAATGCGAAATATGTTTATGTATTGACGTCACTAATCACCACTAAACTTGGCACTAACGAATTCGATTGAACGACATCGAACGACTGTTCAAATATGTATTTGAAAATCGATTATTGCAATCCCAATAATTGAAGCAATGGCCACATTATTACGAATCATTACAGGTCCAAAAAAACCGTTAAATTAATTAGTACATTAATTTAGTTAACCACTGTTATGTGCACACTTTAAAAAATGTCAATTAAAAACAAGAAAAACTACAACGCGATGTCCAAAGAAATCATTTTTTTTTTGGATAGTTTAAAATTTTATTAACATTTTTAAATCAGTTAACTTGTTCACTTTACCACAAACAGTAACTAAGTAGCGAACATAAGCTATCGTATTATCGTAAAACTCAATTATCTGCAATACAGTTTAAAAAGTACTTATAGCAATTGTACTTCATATGAAACACTATGGAATACCGATGGGAAAGGTCTCAGTTGCTCGGGGCGCCGGCAGCGAATTTCACTCACGATCTCCCGACCCTCGATATTTTGGGCACAGGCCAGCGGTAAATTGGTCATTGTTTTACAGCTTCTGTTACCACATACCTCGAGGCGAATTATTAAATTCAACATTATATTTATGCCGTTATTAAGATTACTTAATCGTTATTTTTCTGAAGAAAATTTATTTAATAAGTCTCTAGTTAACTAAGACTGATTTCAACAGGACATTATTAGGCATCCGTTTGCATTGGTAGAGCCCGCTTTAACATCTTCACACGAATTGGCCCGGCTCGCCCGGTGAAATACCACGACCACACAGAAGACAGGCGTGAAGTGGAAGTAATTCCGCGTTTCGTCTGATGAGTGTGTGTTAATTCTCTTTCCCTTCCCACCCTTTTTCTTATAAGGAAAGGATGGGAAGTAGAAGTGAACTTTCCGCATGAGAGGATGCATGGAAAGGGAAAATATTTTCATTCTGTGCATCCTCTCTTCCGTCGATTAAAGGTAGGCAATGCATATGCAATTGCGTATGTCTATGGGCAACGGTTACTTCGCTATTTCGGCGATTTCACGTGGCCGCTCGTTCGTTTGCCACCTTATGATATAAGAAAAAATGATTCTCTCTTACAAAACTAATAGTAAACTAAAGTATAATATATATATGTTACTAAAAAGTTAAGTTCAAAATTATTTAAAATATAGAATTTAGTAAAATTTCTTCATTTATGTCACATCTAACCGACGATAAGCATTACCAACCAAGTAACATCACGACCTGACCGAGTCTCTTAAAGTATGTCAAAGAAGTACAATCTTTTATAATCTGTGGAACATTTCGGGTACCTCCTTTAAGGTAAAAAAGACAACGAATGTATTGAGATGAAACATTGATATAATCGTAAGGCGGTCTTTATCAAAACTCCCCATATGGTATTAGAAGACATAGTACAATGCTTTGGAATTTGCACAAAACCATAAAAGATTTTAAATCTGATTCGCTTTGATCTTAAATAATGTAAGTTACCAAGCACATCTTTCACACGAAGGTAGCAGAATGATGTTTTTACTGTACGTTACAACAGCAGTACTATATTGTTTATTACTCTTCAAATTATTTGTGAAATACACATAGTTACTAAGCTTCTTGAGATACATACTCGTATTTTTATTTTTAAAGTTCTTTTGTTTTCAAGGGTGTTTCGGCTGTGAAAACGTACATTTTCGAGACAAAGCTATAGGATTTTTTTCTATCTTAGAATAACCGTTATAAATTTCTTATTATATTTGGTGAGAAAGATTAAGAAATGTATTTTTTTTTTCATTATCATTATCTTAATTCGCAATCGTTTAAAAAACGCTAAACTTCCCACCAGTCATCTTAGATTACCTTTAAATATGTAAATAAATAAATATCTATAAAATATTTTCGCATGAGATTTAATAGAGATAATAATACATAATGGAAATTTTTTGTTATAATTATAGATCAGATGTCTTACTACTTACTAATATTATAAACGAGAATGTTTGGATGGATGGATGTTTGTTTGAAAGTATCTAGAAAACGGCTGTATGGATCACGCTGAAATTTGGCACAAATATAGAACAGAGCCTTGAACACATAGGCTACAAATTATGTTTTTTTTTATTTTGCGCGGACGGAGTCACGGGCGATAGCTAGTATTATTATACAAATATTTCATTGATTATAGAAACTTAAATATAGTTTCTTTTATGTTATTTTAATTGTCAAAGATAAATTAAAAAATCATTATGTGAGTAAACATTAATTTTCAATATTATTTTTATAGTTAAAAATGTATTTTTATTTGTAATAAAAAATTTTACGTTCTTGTATCAATAAACTATAGTAGTTTACTTATTTCCAATTTTTATAGTCCTAATAGTTTCCTGATTTAAATCGATTTTTATCACAAACTAACTTTTCCACGCGACTTCGTTTGCGCGCAATTAAAAAATTGTACTGCGTCTATGTTAAATTTCAACCATCTAGATATTTATAATATTATCATAATTAAGTTTAAAAATTATTTCCATTATCTAAAAATCATTACGAATGTTAAAGACACATCTAGTAAACTAATATTTATGTTAAAAAGCTTATAATTAACATTGTAATAGCGAACGTTATTAATAAATAATTTATAATCTTTCCTGCACAGATAATATCAGCTCTATAGTTTATGAAAATTAGTCTTAAAATTAGTACAAGCGGATCTTCATGTGAGTCAGCTCCCACGATGTTTGTGACGAGATACATATGAATCACTTTGAACCGTGATTTGAACTATTGACATTTCATAAAACAATGTTTCATGTTACATTCGCCAAATGAAATAAAAGACCGAGAATTATATGAGTATTTTTATGTAGAAATAATCAGTCAGAATTCGCTTGAAATTTTCCGTCTGACTGTACTGTACACCTAAGACAGTCCGGGGAAGAATACTAATAGGATGAGATAGAATTTAGATAGATGTTTGTTTGAAGGTATCTCCAGAACAGCTGTACGAATCTCGTCGAAATTTGGCATAGAAGTCGAACATAGTCTGAAAGAATATATAGGTTACTTATTACCTTTTTCTTATGGATGGTGTCGCGGGCGACAGCTAATAGGTTATAATGAAACTGACATACAAACAAATCATATGTAACTTGTTAGTGGGACAAAAAAACCGTGCGTCAATATTTTTTTTACTAAATCATTTCCTTGTGAATTCCACTCTTAAAGAATGTATAATCTATTAATTGCCTTTTAATTTTAATATTGATTATCTGTCTGCATTATTAAAAGCGTGTGATAACATTAAATTTGATTTCATTTTAATAGGTGTTAGAAATAAAGTTATGGCTGACACTATATTTGGTTTAATACATTTCCCGCTCTTCCTAACATAATGTCAAGGACAACAAGGTCTTCAAATATCTAGAATTAAAGTGAAAGTAGGCCGTGATGTCAGTATTGCTTCTAGATCTAAAGAACACTACGTGTACAAAATATGCCGTCAATCTTATGACGTCACAGAAAAGTTTTATAAGGAAATATTGTTGTCTCGTTTTTTGCTTTCCCAGTGAATGAGAAGGATGTTTTTGTACGGGTATTTTGGCAATGCAAACTCACTGCAATGATGTTTTGAATGTTTATACCCCAACAGATTATGTATAACACAACATTTAAATTCTTTATTTCTGTATCCATATTTTTGTAAATAATATAATTACGACAAACATTTACGACACTCGTCAACAAAATATTTATCGTACAATAAAACTGAACAGTTATGATGCGTCACTGGAGGTGAGAATGTTTGCGGTTACGACGTTTGTTTTAAAACATCTGACTCAAGTGACAGTAATTAACTACCCAGTAAAAAGAATGTCGGTGACATCGAAATGAAATTTCCCAATATACACAACAAATATCCACAAATCTTACTATTATTAAATAGCGAAAGTTTGAATGTATGGATGTTTGTAAGAAGATATCCTCAGAACCTCATCGGACCTTGATGAAATTTGGCATAGATTTTTTTCCTAATTTCTTAAAACCACGCGGATAGAGTCGCTGTCGACACCTAGTTTAAATAAGTTTGCACAGGTGAGAAACCTGTACACAGAATTAGGAATTCTTTTTTGGCACAGC